CCTGCTATTCCCCCCGCCTGTCCCTGCTACCCCACCCCATATGCCGCTGCGATGCCGCTTACCTCCGCCCCACACATCCCAGCCCTGCCTGCTCATTACCCCAACCCCACACACCCCTATCTTGTCATCTGCTTGCTCTTACCCATCCATCCCCGTTGCTCACACCCACATAGCTCTGTCCTGCCTGTGCCACCCAGTCCCATGCACCCCAGCACTGCTGACTCCTGTTTACCCCAGCCCCATACATCACTGCTTGCCCGTTACCCCAGTGCCATACATCCCCACTTATATCGCTGTCTCAGCCTCACAGAACCCTGCCTTCTCATTACCCCAGCCCCATATGTCTCCGCCTGCCTGTTACCCAGTCCCATATACCGTTGCCTGCCCTAATACCCCTCTACATCTCTGCCTGCTGTGGATACCCAAGCCCCATACCCCCCTGCCTGTCTGTTATCCACCTCACACGCCCCTGCCTGCCTGTTATCCACTTCACCCCCCCTGCCTGCCTGTTACCCGGCCCCATACATCCCTCTGCCTGGCCAGTACCCAGACCCACCCCCCTACTGCCTGCCCAGTACCGGGCCCCACACCCCCTGCCTGCCCGGTACCTGGCCCTATACATCCCCTGTCTGCCCGGTACCCAGCCCTATACATCCCCTCCATCTGTGACCCCATCCCCGTCTGCATCCTCGTTCCCATCCCAATCCCTATCCTCATCCCTCTCCCTATTTCCATCTGCAACTGTGACCACATCCCCATCTGCATCCCCGTTCCCATCCCCATCCCTCTCCCTGTCTCCATCTGCATCTGTGACCCCATCCCCGTCTGCATCCTCGTTCCCATCCCAATCCCTATCCTCATCCCTCTCCCTATTTCCATCTGCAACTGTGACCACATCCCCATCTGCATCCCCGTTCCCATCCCCATCCCTCTCCCTGTCTCCATCTGCATCTGTGACCCCATCCCCGTCTGCATCCTCGTTCCCATCCCAATCCCTATCCTCATCCCTCTCCCTATTTCCATCTGCAACTGTGACCACATCCCCATCTGCATCCCCGTTCCCATCCCCATCCCTCTCCCTGTCTCCATCTGCATCTGTGACCCCATCCCCGTCTGCATCCTCGTTCCCATCCCAATCCCTATCCTCATCCCTCTCCCTATTTCCATCTGCAACTGTGACCACATCCCCATCTGCATCCCCGTTCCCATCCCCATCCCTCTCCCTGTCTCCATCTGCATCTGCGACTCCATCCCCATTTGCATCCCCGTTTCCAACTGCATCTACAACCCCATCCCAAGCCCTGACCCCATCCCCATGTGAATCCACATCCACATCCCTGTCCCCATCCCTATCCCTGCTTCCATCTGCATCTGCGTCTGTGACCCCACCCCCATCTGCATCCCCATCCCAGTCCCTGTCCCCATCCCTGACCCCGTCCCCATCTCAATCCCCATCCAATCCCCCTCCCCATCCCCATCCCACTCAGTCCCCATCACCAGCATGGCTTGTACTGCCTCGGGGTCACCACCCCATTGCCACCACTCCTGGCAGCCTGAGCAGCCCGAGGAGACTCCTCCCAGGTATCACATCACCCCAGGGAAGGAGGGGTGCAGGGGCAGGGGAGCATCAGCACACCCAACGCACCCTTCCACCAGCCTGGTGCCACTTGCCCTGGTCACCCAGCGGTGGGTCTGGGGGTGGCTCCCAGGGCCATGCGGCCACTGCTGCCGTTAGCAGCCGGTGTTTGTGGAGAGCTGCCTGTGCCACGGAGGCCGGCGGAGCCTGGCAGAGAGCAGGGGTGGACGTGCAGCTTGGAGTCACCAAACTGATGCCTAAGCAGTTTTGCCCATCTCCTAGGTTGGGGTTCCATGTTGATCAGCAACCACAAACCAGTCAAGGATATTTTAGGATATTTGTTAGGAAATATAAGTAAGTAACAGTTACAGGATAAACCGCAGAGCACCATGGCAACCCATCATGGAAATGCTAATAACTGGGACGTAAGGTGGGTGATTAACCTATCAAAAGCAGAACCCTAACATTAAGTTGGGTGCAGAT